ATATATATATATATATATATATAAATACAATATTTAAGACTTAGTTTGATTTAAATTTAAATATTTAATACTAATAATAAATAATTTTTTAAATATAAAAATGTATAACATATCATATCATTTTTTAACAAACTAGGTATTAACTAATCGCTTACTATATTTATAGGTTGAAATTATGGAACCAGAAATTAAATCGATGACGAAATTGACCGGACAAAAAAGGAAAGATGTGAAAAATAGAAAAACGTTAAAAAAAAAACCAAAAAAAGTGAGTAGTATAACATTTTATAAGATATTCGAAGAATAAATTTATAATTTGATTTTATAGAATATTTCTTATTAAGAAAAAGTTACCCAATTAATACAAAATGAAAAAATTGCAAAAGATGTTATGAATTCGATTACAATCAGACAAAGTGGAGGAGTTGTAACTATTAAATCGGTTGCTGATGAAAAATGACGTACTGATTATTGGACGTTGGCACATTATAAAACCAAAAACATTGAACATATTGATGCTAAAGACAGGTAATATATATATATATATATATATAAATGAATATTTTTTTTCTTTGTATTTACTTTGAAATAAAGTTAGTGTATATTAATGTAAAAATATGATAGAACACATTTATGTGATTTTAGGTGGAAACATGCAGAATGTTCATTAAAACTAGCGATAACAGACCAGTCAAAAGATCAGAATGTTTTAGGAGAGCTGAATGAAATTGTTCAAACGCTCTTTGATCGTTTTATGAAAGACCCAAAAAAAAAAAATTATACAAAACGTTTTTTCAAATTAATTTATATATATGTATGAATCATGATGACGGTAAATAAAAACAATAATAAAAAAACTTGAATTATCATTTTTTAAATTATATAAATAAAATAAAATAGTACATTTAAAGATTGAAAAAAAAATATATTAAGTTTAATATAATATAATAAATATGAATACAGTATAAAAGTAGTAATAATTGTAAAATGAACATTTTTTTATAAAAATTTTTAGCAAACAAAAAATATGAGTATTAAATCTAAAGGTTTTAATTTTTATTACATTACAAAATCTTGTAAAATCATATTTGATAATGAACTAAAATGAAATTGCAACAACTCGTACATGAATGAAATATCATCACTTTGAATATTGCTATAACTAAAATCATAATTTTGAATATATTGGTTTGTAAATTCATTTCGTTGACAAGACGATGGTAATCCATTGACGTCGGCCTTTATCGACGCATATGCTGTATCAAATGTTTTTTGGTATGATTCCAACTTCTTTTGTTTTTTCAACAATATACAAGTCGATACAATGTTGTAATTGTTTTAAACGATGTAAATCAACGTGAGATAATGTTATATAATTATTATTAGAATATAAAACAATAGTCGATTGGTTAACATTAACGGAATAGAAAAAGTTGTCAGCTATTTTAACACGTTTACATCGGGTATGTAAATTATCAATAATT